TAATTAATTTTTGTAAAACTTTTGGTGATGAAACTTTTAAATAAATAATTATTGGTGCTAAAGATGTTTTTTGTAATTGAGCTGGATGATTTATTGTATCACAATCAAGTACAACTAATTGTAAACTTCGTGCTAATTCAAATATACGTTCAATTTCATCATGAACTTCTTTTATACCATTTGCACGTGTTGCATTGATTGAACCGAAACCAGGTGCTGTTGATGATGAATTATCACCACCAGTATTTGAACTACTACGTTCAATAAGTGCAATTTTTGATGGATTATTTAAAAGACCACGTTTAGCAAGAGATATATCAGCTGTAACACGTGTTATTATAATACGACCTTCATAACGATGTTTTAAAAAATCAAAAACAGCTTTTTGCATCATATCTGTAACATCATATCCTTTTAATGAAGGACCAACTAATACAACGGGACGCATATTTGGTACAACATCATATGGTGTAATGTTTACACTCTACAAATAAATGTTGTATTTTATATGAATTTTTCATGTAGATTTTATTTACCTTTTTGAAAAAATTTTTCTTTCTATCTTTGTTTGCATTTGTATTTAATTTTGATTTCGTAAGACTATTATTATCACCATCACCATCATTACCAAACATTTCATCATTAAATGTAGGAACATTTTGATCAATCATATCAAGACCTTAAGAAAAAACAAAAGTAAAAAAATAAAAAATTTTTGAAATTTTTTTTTTTTCTTTATGAAAAATAACAACATACTTTGTGTTGATCCTTTCATACGTGGTGTTGTATTTGCAAGTGGTATTGGATGATTTTTACTTTTACGATTTGATTGTATACGTATCATTTCTAATTTAGCTGGACTTGGTATAAAACCAAGTGATGCATCAACTTTAACTAATCGACCAATCCACCAATCATTATTAAATTTCTAAAGAAATGAAATTTCTTTGTTTAGTTTTTTTTTTTTTTGTTGATTTATTTTCATTTATCTTACATCTTTTATATGAAGAAATTCTTTTGTTTTAAATGTAATAGCTGCTTTAGCAATAGGACAAAGATCATCAGGTGATGGTACATAATCAATATTTGTTCGTACAGCAAATGCAACTGGTTTTGTTTTACATCGTTCCAATGCTTCATTTGCTGAACGTGTTTGATCACGGAGTTTAGTTGGAGGTGATAAACTATTTGTAGTTGTAGCAGCTGTTTTAGTTACATCAGATGAATCTCCATCAAAACTTTCTGATGATTGTTGACTATAATTGGACTCAGCTGAACCCTATATATTAAAATAAAAACGAAACAATTTTCTAGGGAAATAAAAATTTTCTTTTGAAATTCCTATGGGAATTTGATATTTATTAAATTTTAAAATACAAACCAATATTATACGGTGGACGAGTAATGCAAAATTCATCTTTATTGGCTCTGTAGAAAAATCGTTTCTGTTGTTTATTGTCAATGTGTTCTGTCATCAATCAGTATTTGTCAAAACTATTTTTACTTTACTTGAGTAATTATCCATCGATTTGCAATTACATACAATTTTTTCTTCCTTGTTTTCTAATTGCTGATGAAGAAGAATTAATAAAGCTGGAATGTAGATTATTAGTCTCAGCGAATTAGAAAGATAATGGTGACCTTACATTTGTCAATATGTCCGTATTTTTCTTTTTTTTTGTACCCGCTCGTACAACGATTACAAATAGTCGAAGAAAACTCAATAATGTATTTGTAAAAGAAGACTTACAACTGTTGTTATTGAATAAGCACTATCAGCTGAATATTGTTTTACATTTCGAATAGATGGCATGAACATTTTTCATTCTATCACTTTCCACTATTAATCAAATAGAGTTTCATCATTTATATTTATCGTTTACTCTAATCCATGATAAAAAAAAAAAAAAAACTTACTCTCTTTCTCTCGATTCTAGCTATGATTTAGTAAAAACATTTTCTTTTTCGTTCGTTCTTCTAGACAACTTGATTATCGTATATAAGTACCTATGGAACATCGCGTTAGGACTCGACAACAATAACGAAAGAAATAAGAATGCATATGAATATTTGTTAATTCTACACAGGCGTGCATATAACAGCGTAATATAACTAGCGTCAAATCATGATTTGACACGCATAAAGAACGAATAACACACCATGTAGTCGCATCGAATTCTACTTGTCTTATCATTCTAACACAGCAGACAAAAGTCTATTTCTATTTTGTTTTTTGTATGACAGACAACTCATTTTCTTTTTTGCTAATACAAATATAAAATGGTTTGTGTTTTTTCTTTTTTTTTTTTTGTTTTTGACGAGGAAATAGAAAAAGAAAAATCATTATTTTTTTCCCTAAAGAGACAAATTTATTTAATTAAATAACAATAGAAAAAATTGCATTATCAATCAATTCAAAAAATACTTACTTGTCGATTGATACTATACGAATCTGATGACAGACTGCTATCTTGTGTTGTTCCAAGACCACTCAATTTTGGTGAAAATGCTAATTTCTAAAAATACGACATTTCATATATATATATATATATATATTAAACTGTTCAAGTAATGAAAGAAAGGGCAACACTTATGATGATTATTTAGTTGTACTCTTTGTTATTAAAATGTCTTGAACGACAAATAAATGTTGCAAGTAGAACAAGCAAATATTAAATAATAAAAAAAAAGAGGCTCGAACCCTTTCAGTTCGAGTATTTATTACAATCCTATTATAAATATCTATATTTAGTAATTATAAAATTTTTTAGAAATCGATACTATTTTTTATTTCCTAGTAATAAATGTGATATTTTTTGTGTAAATAATTACATAAAATAAATGTTTTTGAAATCAAGAAATATTTTGATTAAAATAAATTGAATATTAAATGGATATTAGTTGAAATAAATATATATTTATAAAATTTAATATTTAATTCTTACTTTTGGATGAAGAAGATCTCGATTATCACGTTGAATTGAATGAACCCCGCTCGATAGCAAAGGGCTATTATTAGATTGATTATTCGTCGTTGTTATTGCACTAGATCTTATATTGTTTGTATTGTTGGCCATGAATATCATATTTCCATTTAAAAAAAATCATTTTAATCTTAAAAATTAATTCATATAGTTACTTATGAACATGAAAATACTGGATTGAGCTCTATTTATTATGTATTTGTTTACATGATCATAGGTTACTATTAAGAAAATTGCTTTAATAACCAATCAATAAAAACTTGTCTTCCTCCAGTCAGTTTTTTTTTTCTTATCAAAACCATCACATAGCGAACTCTATTGAAAGTATCAATAAACAATTATAAGAACACAAAAAGAAAAAAAATAATAAAAACAATAAATGACAGAATATGATAAGAAAAATATTCTTATACATTATTGAGAAACAAAACTTAGCCTACATATTGGTGACAATGACAACAGAAGATATATAACTAATGATAACGATGTCTATAGTATTATTATTTGCATAGAAAAAGAAATTGTTGTTAAAAGTCGATTAGACATTTGATTTATTGCAACGTAAAAAACTCAACCATTAATATCATGATTTTTATTAACTCAACGTTCTATTCAATGGGTAAATTTAAAAAAAAAAAAGCGATATTTACTATTTTGATTCACAAACGATTATCGATCGTTCAGCGGTTAAAAAAACACTAGCAAAAACTCATGATTAATTCAATAATCAGATCATTATTAAACAACTTTTTTCTCATGATATACAAATTAAAATAAATAATATCCTAGGTTTAACTCCAGATAGATATACATTCATTATTTTTCTACTCTATACTTAATTAGGTTTTATCATAATTGAAAGTATACAGATTAAAGTAGAAAATTCTAATGAAGTTTTATTCTTATTTTTCTATCGATATTAATTTGTTCAAAGTCATTATCAAATTTTATTCATTGGTGTGAATTGAATAAATTTAGAAATATAAATTTATCCTTGATCTAATGTATTCGAAATGAATAGATGAAAGTACAATAGATGTGCACGTTATGCAATACTATTGTTGAAATTTATCGGAAATAGGTCTATACATTATTAACACTCAAAGCTTTTTTCTATATAGTATAAAAGATCTTAATGGAATTTCCTGATTTGAAATGTTCATAAAATAATGAGAATATTTATTAAAATAAAATTCTATTGATCGTATATATAATATCATCAATGTATGTACATATATGAAATGACAGTAGAGTTAATATAGATTAACAGCAAATGATTATATATTAGGCAAATGGAATGATTCGAGTCTTTTAAATGAACAATACTCGAGACTAACAAGATATGACATATATTCAAGAGAATAAATAGTCAAAGCTTGAACAATGATGATGGTTTTGCATTCAATAATTGAATATTTTCCAAAATAGACAAAACATTGTGATTGTTTATTTCATAATATATACGTATATAAAACACGTAGTGATTGTTGCAGCAATTCTAATCTTTTTTTTTTCGAATTTAGTCTAATTCGTTCTAGTTTTCATGAATAATTCTGATTCTTGATTCTCTTTATAAAAAAAAAAAACTTCGTTATTTTCTGATTTTTTTCTCCCTTTTCGTCCAAAAAAAAGAAATGCTTGAGAGATAAGTATATAGAACCATATGTAATAGAAATTTTCTTCTATACTCAAGGTGATGATTTTAACCGATAGAAACCGCATATTGTTGCATTAATTTCGTCGTTTTATATCATTTACGACCGTTAATGGTGCCATTTTCTTGGACTTGGATATGCTTCATATTCAATATAACTCTAGTTATGTGACACTCGAGATATCAATAAATTACTTGTTTTTTTTCCTCTAAATCAATAATACAAAAAAAGAAAAGCCACTATGTGATTAGTGTGGTAATGGTACTATGTTAAAAAATAAAAAAGCTACTTATTTTCATTTTATGATTTTTTCAATAATCGTTTTGTTGAGTATCAGTTTTAAGATAAATTATAAATAAAATTATTGTTTTGTATTAGTAGTACTGGATGACGTTAGCATTGATGATGGTGGTGGTGAATATCTTTTAGTAGACTGTGTTTGCAAATTGAGTGGATCTATTGATAATGGATAATTATTTGATTGAGTTGGAGCAATAAGTGTAGGTAGATAAAACATCATTGGAGTATTGAAATATGGCATTCGAATCGTTGGTGGAGAAGTTATATTTGCTGAAGAAATCGATGGCGTTGGTGGACTAGGTGTAATTGATTGTTCACTATTCATATTTGTACTCAATTTTACATAGATTGGTTTTGAAAGAATCCATTTACCATTCATTTCATTTAGAGCTTTAGTTGCTTCTTCTATTGTATTAAAGCATACAAAACCAACACCTTTTGATTGATTACCATTTCTCAAGATCTTAAATAAATGATAATAAAAATGTATATAATTTTAATTATCATATGTTATGTATACTCACATGTGTTTTAGTTACTCTACCAAATTTAGTAAATATTACTTCAAGTAATTGTTCATCAATCAATGGATCCAAATTACTAACAAACAACGAAAGATTATTCGATTGTTTATGCTGATTTTCTTCGCGAATTCGTAGAAGTTCATTTTGACGTTCAGATTTTTTTTGAAAACGTCCAACATACAATTGTTTGCCGTCGTGTAATACATATCCATTTAAATTCATCATTGCCTAATAGAAAAGAAAATATTCATATAAAATAAATTATATCAATTTACATGTTGTGCCATTTCTGGTCGTTCAAAATTAACAAAACCAAATCCTTTTGATTGACCATTATTATCTGTTTGAATCTAACGATAAAACAAAGATATTTATAATAATTTTAATTAATAGCATTTTATAACATACTTTACAGCTTGTTATAGTACCATAAGTACCAAATAAGTGACATAATTTTGTTTCATTCATATCTTTACTAAAATTTTTCACATATAAATTAGTAAAATTCGATCGTCGTTGATCCATTGCTGAATTATCATAACTATAACTTGACATTTTTATCTAAGAAAGAAAAAACGAAAAGAATAAATCTCAACTTTCAAGAACATCGTCTAGTGACCATCGTAATTACATAACAATCAAAATAAAAAACAACTGAATGCTTTTAGAAAGCTGCTATTACCTTTTTTTTTTCTCCTCGTGGTTTGTTATTAAAGGTGACTGACTGCATGAATTGTAACAACTGGTATATTGCTTTTAAATTATTTAGTTGTGTTGACGAATTCTTCTTCCTCTCTTTCTCGTTCTTCCACTTGATGTGTTATTAGTCACAATTAAAGTCAATTCCTTGTTTCCTGCATCTAAGCATCATTTTGAATTGGGAAAAAGCTTATTGAAATCTTGAGAACATGACAACTACACATGTGAAGTTCACTTTTTGAAAATTTGACGGCATTCGGGAAATATAAATATGCAGAAAATGATTATTAGCAGTTTAATAGTTTCCTTATATGGTGATGCATGATTCAATCTTAAAGCAAACATTATTGTTTGAGATATGATATGCATATATACTTTATTTATCATCTTGTGTGACTTAAATTCATTCAATAACGAAGTCTCAAATGCCTAGACAAAAAAAACTTACATGAGTTATATCGATCGAAGAACGAACGATGATAATAATTAGTACATATTAAAAAAAAATGAAACATAAGTTTTCATTGATATTCAACATTAGTATTGTACTCAAGAGCATATTAAAACGAATTAATATTAGAATCTGTTTCAATAAGAAAAGAAAATCTTGATTCTCTAACTGATTAATTTTAAAATTCGAAAGTAAAATCAGTTCGTTCTAAAGTACGAGGAAAAATTAATGAAATCAATATTCTATTATATTCAAGCTCATGCAGTCAGTCGCCTTCTCTACTCGAGAATAGCTCAAGTGGCAGTCTAAATTTTTTTTTTCGTGCAGCATTCTATTGACATTGCAAGAGTATGAAAACTATAAACATTTGACGAATTGATTTCGAATGATGTGGTGATTGAATAAAAACAAAAGTCAAAAACAATCAATAAAAAACAGTCGCATAAAGTTAATAATTCGAATCAGACAACAAGATTTTTCTATACATTAGACAATGAAATTTATTTCAAATCAATAAAAAAATAACGTTTAAATTATACATATAAATCACAATTTTTTCTACATTCTACTATTTTTTCAAGTTTTACTTTCCCTTCTTGTGACAAACAACAATCTTGTAACCAAAAAGTATTTAATGTTCGATTGGATTCAAACATAGAAACAAGAAAATTACTACTATAATCACTTATTAATTTATTTCCATTTAAATATAATTGCATAAGAGTTTCATTATCAGATCGTAATACATTTGCCAATGATTGTACACCATAATCACTTATATCATTATATGAAAGCCATAAATCAGTTAAAGTTCGATTTTCTTTTAACATATCAGCTAAATAATGTACACCTTCATCTTTAATACCATTGTGATCAAGACAAAGTAATGTCAAATTTGAATAATTATTTGAAAGAATCTCAGTTAAATATTTTACACCGACATTAGTCACGAAATTTTGTGAAAGATATAATGATTCTAATGAATCATTTTCCTTTAAACTATCAGCTACAATACATAGACCCTGTGATGTAATTTGATTATTTTGTAACGAGAGCCAAATACATTTTTTATTTTTTATAGCTTGTTCAGTAATAATATTCATATGAGTATCAGTTAATTTTTGATTTCTCAAATTAATTTCACAATAGTTCTCATAATATTTAATTCGTTTTCGAAATAATAAATTAAACAATTTTAAATTTTCATTTCTAGTTACTGTTGACAAACTTGTTTCAATAGAATCGGGATATGAAATTTCTTTTAAAGTAATAACATGAAGTTCATCTCTTGATTTATATGAAACAATTTGAAATCGTTGTCCAGGTAAGAGTAAAATTTCATGTTCTATTTTATAAAATGAATGTTGACTGATATTTTTTGCATGATTACTATGAATAATAAATAAAGTACGAATACCCGTATGTACAAAACCAAATTCTTTTTTATCAAAAGCATTTATCGATGAAAGGCATGATAAAAATTCATACTAAAAAAGTTTTCTATTCAAAAAATATTCATTTTTTAAATCTAAATTAATTCCTCGATAAAAAATTCGCCTAGATAATTTTGGTAATTTTGATAATGATGTTGAAATTAATTTTAAATAAAAATACCAAGGGATTAATTCATTAGGATCATTTAAATGAAGTTTTCGATTAAATATATAATGAAATGAATCTTCTTTTGGTAACCATTCCATTGTATAAAGCATAATTGAACCTGATTCATCTATAGAAAGATTATCTTTTGGTTGTTGACATTTTTCTTTTACTAATTTAACCATATCTTGTACTTGAGGTATGAAAATTACTAATGGTTCAACTGCTTCTTCAAGTGTAACTATTGGTATGTGTTCGTAATCATGAATAGATGGATCGATTGCTTTTGGTTCTCCAGAGAAATTAAAAAATCGAAAATGAAATTTAGGTTGGCAAATTAATTTCAAATCCATCAAGCTAAATAAACGAAGAATATTTTATTTTATAGTAGATCGTCTTATGTTATATGTCTGTGGTTTCTATCTCGATTGTGTTACTCTGTTCTGTAAATTTAAACATATATATAGTTACATGAAAATTATCGTGTACAGGAAGTAAGGAATATTGCACAACTATCTTGCAATGAATCATGATTAATAATTCAATAACGTATTTTTCCATGTGATGTTGAAAGAATGAGAAAAAAGAACTAAAGTATAAATCATAAGTTTATCCTTTTCGTGAGGGTTTTTTCAAAAAATCGCCTTCATCACAGATCTTAGTAATTGAGATTAAAGGCACTAAATGACATTAATAATCAGACTTAGAAGGTTCTAGAACATTCCAGAATCTTCCTTGATAGTTAAATGACTGGAATACGTTTTTCGATATTCTAAACAACGCAGCTTCTGACTTTTGTGCAGATAAACGATTATATTTAAGAGAGATTTCGTCAGTCCATCGAGAATCGTTGGAGAATGATTAAAAAAAGGTTACTTTTTTTTATCTCATTCAATTTCTTGAAATAAAGTAAGGTTATGAAAATTGTTTTAGAATTTCAGGACTTTTCTTAATGAAGTTATAGGCTTACGAACAAGAGGGGGTCAAGAAAATCTCAAGAAAAACATGCTTTTCTTTTTTTCCAGTATTTCGGCTATAACGCCGTCATTTTTCATCCTTTTTTCTACACTACGTTTCATTCAAAAGAGCTCATCAAACTGAACAAAAAAGTCTCTTGTGAAATTTCCAAAAAGTGGAAACTTCATAGGAAAAAAATGCGTCTTTCAAAGCATCCAGGTTATTCGGAACCAGATTTTTTTCAGTGCAAACCATTTCTCAAGATTACAGAAGTCGAATAGGAAAATCTAATATAGTGTATCTTGTAGAGAATTTTACGCTCTACAAAATCCATATAAACAACTTGAGAAAAAAACATCACGTCATGTCGTAATTTTCAAGACAAAGAAGAGAAAAGCACCTCTTTTTCTATATAAAGTTATAGGAGAAGCCAAAGCCCTCGATCATTTAACCATTAACTACCCATTTTCAAGCAAAATTCATATTATATTTGGAATCAGCACAGGGCTGCCAAATCTTCTGATTTAGCCAGGAGACTCCTGATTTTTAGACTTTCCTCCTGGTGAAAAAATCTCCTGAATCCAGGAGCTGATTTTTATGATTTTCTCCTGAGTTCTCCTGATTTTTTAAAGGATTTTGTCACGTTTAATTGTAGTGATATTTTGAATCAATAAGACAAAGAAAAAGAGAACTATCACACTATTTCATAGATGCAATAGACAATAAGAAAACACGTCGTTTCTGCTTGTTAGGCCTGATAACATGCGTTTATTTGTGAGCTTATCTTCTTGACGGTTAAAATGTACCTCATGGACAAAAACTAGTTTAGTTCGCTTTTTCTATATCAACCTAGAATACTATTTGTGAATTGACCTTCAGCCACATGAAATTTTTGTGGGCTGATAATAGAAACGATTTGAAGTGCAATATTATTGGTGCATAATTAGGAACTAAATGAATAATCGTCTCAGTTGTACAAAGTTCTATAATTATCTTTTAAATAATTCAGACCTATTGAAACAAATTCAGTCTTCAGAAAAATATGACCATGTTCATAGGTGGCAAAATGTTTTGGATCTAGGGTAGGCTCAACAATTTTTTACAGGATTCGCACCAGAAAATTAAAAATATAGCCTAAGCCAATTTTTTTGATGTCATCTTGATGAAACAAAGTTAGTGTTTCTCATTTCGAAGTCGCATTTTGTAATGTATGACGCTGATAGAGATAAGAAAAGCATTTGCAACTTATCAGTCAAAAAACGCGCATTTAAGAAAACATGTTGATGATTATCTTCATTGACTTTCAACTCTCACAAGAATTGTTTTCCATCTGCTGTGCTAAAAAATAAAATAATGTCCAAGCAGCAATGTTCACAAAAACGACATTACATTATGAATGTTTTTATTGTGTTGAAAAGATATTTTTCTGCGGGAATATTTTTCTATACTCGTCGTTTTCTTGCTCCATTTCGTATGGCAATGGGAACTTCATTAAGTATTGGTGTTCCCGCCTTTTTTCTCGTATTTACCTACATATTCGGATACTTGCATGTAACAGCGTTTTATTTTTACGTAACTAACCTACTGTAGCTCCAATCATAATTATATTTTTAATTTCAAGTCGAGTCACGGTTATCTTAAAATCTAAAAATAAAACAGGAATATGAATTCCTGAAGTCTTACGATTAGAAGTGTAAATCGCCGAGCTGAGTCGCCACTGTCGGTGGGACAAAAAAAACTAACAGTTTTGAAGATTTTTCGACGCCTGAGATCATTCTTCAACGATGTTTCTGTCTAGATTTTTTATCAGTGTGTTCTCTACCATTGTTTTCTCTTTTTCCATCCGATAATTTCTCTGAAATAAGAAAACCTTAAAGAAATTGTCCAACAAATTCACTCACCTCCGCCGACAAACTAAAAAAGTTGAGTATTTTCAGTCGCTACCGAAATAAAAAAATAAAATCACACTTACACACCACCGATCTATGGACTGGTTTAAGCTTCCGCTTACAGAAGTGAAAATAAATTTTTTTCTGGGAATAAGAGTGTAAGAACAAGAATAACAATTTTTTCCGAGAAAGAGAATATACGGGCGAGAACAGCAAATTTTTTCTGAGAACAGAAAAAATAATCGAGAAAAGTTGCTCTCATAACACTAATGATCGGGTAATGTAAACTTAGTCGCTAAAAATGATGAAAGTCTTTGGCAGCTACTAGCTGATATGATTCAGGTTTTTTATGTAGTACTTCGTCACTTTTAACGAAAGAACCTCAATTTAAATCATGGCTGACCCAAGATTTGACATTTATTCACACAAAACTAAAAGTTTTCTCAAAACAGTTTCTAGGTCTGTTTCAATAAATGTTACTATTTGTTGCCGATAGCGACAAAAAATCTTGACGTCTGTACAAATTTTTTACGTACTGCACAAACCTATCAATTTGACGTAGTAGAAAACAATTATTTGAGCGTACCATAGTCTATGGGATCTGAACCAAAGATAGGCTTTAGTCTACTCAATCCGTGTGATTCCATCATCTACGAATAGACGCTATCTAAGCCTTCATTTATTCCATCCACGAGTCTACCTAAGCCTTTAGCTGTCCAACCTAGAGTAGGCTCGAGCATACTCAGGACTTGTGACCCCTTCGTTCATGGTCATGTTACAAAAGTGACATGAACGACATAGTTAATAAATTATTGTTCATGTATGCCCATTTTGTTTAGTTACATATTAATGTCTAATTAAACTTCATTTTCTATTTTGTCGGTATATTTTGATAAACCACTGTGAAATGAGTAGTAAAATAAATTCCACATAATTATGTTTTTTTAAGAATATATATCACTTAGAGGAAATTTTGTCATCAGTAACTTAGTACAAGAACATAACGAGTGATTAGAAGGACGAAAACTTCAGTTTTCTTTGAGAGAAGACCACTAATTCATTTTCTGATTTCAATAAACATCTTCAGATTTTTCTTCTGATTTTTCAGTAAAAATTCCCTGGTAAACTCCTGATTTTTCGCAAAAAACTTCTGATTTTTGAAATTTGGATTTGGCAGCCTTGAATCAGCATCAAAAACTGAGTCAGACAATATATGTTTCATTAAAGGTATTTTTTTGAGGAAATTCATCCGTACTTTCCCTCAGCTCATTTTTGAGAAGTTTTTCCCTGAGGTCCCCCTCAGATGAAATTTCTCAAAAAAATATTTTTAATGAAACATATGGTGTCTGACTCAGTTTTTGATGCTGATTCCAAATATAATATGAATTTTGCTTGAAAATGGGTAGCTAATGGTTAAATGATCGAGGGCTTTGGCTTCTCCTATAACTTTATATAGAAAAAGAGGTGCTTTTCTCTTCTTTGTCTTGAAAATTACGACATGACGTGATGTTTTCTCTCGAATTGTCTATATGGATTTTGTAGAGCGTAAAATTCTCTACAAGATACACTATATTAGATTTTCCTATTCGACTTCTGTAATCTTGAGAAATGGTTTGCACTGAAAAAAATCTGGTTCCGAATAACCTGGATGCTTTGAAAGACGCATTTTTTTCTATGAAGTTTCCACTTTTTGGAAATTTCACAAGAGAATTTTTTGTTCAGCTTGATGAGCTTTTTTGAATGAAACGTAGTGTAGAAAAAGGATGAAAAATGACGGCGTTATAGCCGAAATACTGGAAAAAAAGAAAAGCATGTTTTTCTTGAGATTTTCTTGACCCCCTCTTGTTCGTAAGCCTATAACTCCATTAAGAAAAGTCCTGAAATTCTAAAACAATTTTCATAACCTTACTTTACTTCAAGGAATTGAATGAGATAAAAAAGAGTAACTTTCTTTTTAATCATTCTTCAACGATTCTCGATGGACTGGCGAAATCTCTCTTAAGATATCAAGGATGATGTTTTGATTTTTCATGATTATCATATGACCAACATCAAAGCATGAACTGATTAAGTTCTAGCTCTTGGGAATAATCAATTTCAATCTTTCTGGGTTCATCGAAATACATAATAGATCGTTAAGATCTGTTGTAGATATAACAAATGTGTATAACAGACTTATTCGTCCATTAGATTAATGATTAGACTAATAATAGTAAATTATGAAAATGAAACCAAAAACAAAGGAAATAAATACCATGCAATTAGCAAGGAGACAAATAAAAAAGACAGAATGTTTGTTGGAAATCGATTATTGTTGAAAAAGAAGTCTGGTCTGTTAGAGATTTTACATTTTGTATATTTTGTTTTAGTAGAATGAAGCTAAATAAGACATGTGAATTCCACATTTCAACTCCAAAGAGACTATGCTAACAATTTTTTTTCATAAAAGCCTAAAATGAGGCACAAATGCCAAGAAGAATAATAGATTTCGTGAAAAAGCTATTGAA